GTTTGCATGTTTAGCCTGTGCCTGTCAATGCAGTCATGCTCCTGGAAGCATAATCTAAGGGATAAATCCCTTTGCGTGACTTCATGGTGCGAAGAGTTCAAGGCAGATCTTGTCTGTGGACATGATCTGTTACAGCCTTAACAATGTCCGTAATGTTGCTGACTGGTTAGGCACACCCTGTTGGAACTATCAAAATAGCCCAGCTCATCTGCTATTGGGTTAAAGTACTACTAGAGTAGAGAGGACTTTGAGAAGACACAAGGGCACCTAGATCTAGTATAGTGCTTTTCCAACTTTAATGTGTATATGAATAACACAGGGGTCTTGTTAAAATGTAGACTCAGAGTAAGTAAGTTTGGGGTGTGTCCTGAAATTCTTAATTCCCAACAAATGTTTAGGTAATACCAACACTTCTGGTCCAATGACCACCCTTTAAATAGCAAAGCTTTTTCCTGTGCTTAAAAATCCACCAGGGTCTGTGATGAAGCAGTGTTTCTCTAAGTCAGGACTTGGTGGCCAGAGAGGGTTAGAAGCAAGTGATTTACATAAGAATCACTCACTAAGTTTTAGTCATAGGCTATCTATCTATGCTAGTCAGAAGCAATTATTATTTGTAGTGCCCAAGTACTCACAATAAAGTTTACACTGGAACATCTCAAGACCCCAAGTGCTACTAGCAAATTGGGCAAATAGCAAATGCCCCCACTCTTTAATTTAGAAAGAATTTTCTATGAGCTAGGAACCTAAAGATTAAGTGGATTAAAGAGAGAAAATGTAACTTAGAATGGAAGGGCTCAGATCTGGTATCAAAGTCCAGTTTGTTCAGTTACCACCTGTGTGGCCTCAAGTAAGTTGTTATAAAGCCTTTGAGATGCAGTTTCCACAACTCTACAGGGGAAATAATAATAACCAAGTCACAAGAATTTTGCACTTTGAAGAAGATCATGGTTTAAAAAGTGCTTTTGTAAACTAAGAGCTCTACATATAATAGTTTTATTTAGAAGACAAAAGTTTAAAAGTAAGTTATAGATGGGTACTAATGATGTTTCCATTGAACTTAAAAAGCTACAGAGAAAACAGCTGACATTTAACTCTTTATTCATCCTCAATGAGCTTAATATCAGAGAGAAGGCTGGTGGGCAAGCTTCTCAGGGCCTCAGCAATCTCACAATATTTCAAGAATATCTCACAATATTCCTGCCAGGTCCCTGTATTGGTAGTATCTGAGAGAACATCCTCTCTGTTATTTAAGCTCAGTGTGGCACATCACAAAATAATGAAAGCTTGGATGGTCTTTCAGTTCCCCTAAATCTATCAGGTTCTCTGTTCACTGTTATCTACCCTAATTATAGCAGGAAACAAATTGGGTCCAGTTGCTGATGTTATGTAAATGTAAAAATATTGCAAGAGAAATAAAATATGTACATATTTGAGCTAATGGTACATAAATAATAGCACATCCATGCTACGTGTCTTAGGGTTTTATAATTTACAGGTCTTTGTATACTACCTAGTGTGAGTCTCCTATTAATCTATAAATTGCTTATTATTAGTACCTAAGGATTATGCAGTTCCTCAACTATCTATCTAAATGATTTGTTTGTTAATCTTGGGGTTGTAAAATTTAATGACTGTATATCACAATAGACCCTGGTTGCCTCTCCTTCCCTTTGTAACATTCCCCTGGGTATCCACCCGTCCTCATGGGGCCTATGCTTTTAGGGCAGCGGTTCTCACTCAGAAGCCATTTTCTCCCATCCCAGGGATATTTGACAATGTCAGTCATCACAATTGGTATAGAGGGTTTCTTAAACTTGTAGGTAGAGAACAAGATGATACTAAATAGCCTCCAAAGCACATGAAAGTGTCCTGGTTACCATAACAAAATACCCAACCCATATGTCTCAACTGCTGAGTTTGAGAAACTCTGTTTTGAGAAGCTGCCTCCACTTGTCTCTAGCAGTGGGGCAGGTGGCTCAAGACTGGCTTTAAAATCACACACAATCCCATCTCCTTGACAGAGTGATAGATTTGGGATGAACACATGATCATTAGTGCTCAATGAGCCTGAGAAGACATTTCCAAAGGATTTCTGGGAGAGACAAGATTTCTCCCTCTTTTGAGAGAAGATTTAGAAGTGGTTCTTGATGGTTCTGCTTTCACTAGGCTGGATTATAATGGACAAATTTTGTACTCCTTTGAAAAAAATTAATAACAGGAAAAATATATAAAACAAGGATTTGAAGACATCAGTTATCAGACTGTGGAGGACAGTTGTCCCAGAAAAGGACAAAAATGAAAGAAAAGACATAAAAGTATATGTGAATTATGAAACAATCTAGTAATACAGTGTTGTTAGATTAACTGGGGTGGGATGGGGAGAGAAAATATATTTGAAGAAATAGTGGCTGAGTAAAACAGAAACTCAAAATCCAAGAAACTGAGTACAAAAAAAAAAAAAGGAAAAGAGAATATCATAGTAAAAGTAATTTAAGTCAGCAGTAGAAATTTGTAAACTATTTTTCCTTAAAAGAAATCTATAGCCAGATGTGGTGCCACATGCTTTTAATCCCAGGTAGTCAGACAGCTGGAGCAGGATTGCAAGTTCAAGGTCAGTCTTGCAACATAGTGAAACCACGTCCCAAAATAAAATTTAAAAAGGGCTGAGGCTATAGCTCAACAGTAGAGCACTTGCCTAGCATGCACAAGGCCCCGGGTTTAATTCCCAGTAACACACACACATATATACACATATGTACACAGACAGTTCTATATGATAAACAGTTTTGAAAAACCTGTTTTAGATGAATTGTTTTTATCCTCTAAGTCAGTGTTGCAATGTGAATAGTTTGATTTCTCTTTTAGCAGAACTCAAAACTGCTTGGATTTGTTAATAGAGCTCATTGTTCTGGTAATGTATTATTCATCACCATCCCATGGTCAAGTCAGACCAAGTTGAAAAGGCAGCCAAACATTCTGTGCCCAATTCATTTAACTGTTTCACCACAGCTGCAAGTCCTATATTGCCTTAATCTATGTATTCAGGGACTTACCTCCCACCCCACTGCTTTGGAGACAGACACTCAAGGACAATGTAGTATGACTTCCCATGAATTATTCCAGATAAAAATATGTGATATCTTTTTTTTCCTATTATTTAATTGCTCCAGTTTTTCCATGCAATTCATGTCCCTAATGACTCTCAAACACTGGCTCCTCCCACGAGACAGATACCCAATTGTATGACAAACACAGGACCTTTTAAGAATCAAGTGATGAAAGACAGCGTGAGAATTGGAAATTTTCATCAGTCCACTAGCGGCACTGTCACCCTTGGCCCTGGCTCCCTCTAATGATCACTTGTTCCCTGTTCTGGGTTAAAGTTCCAAGATTTCAGCCCTCCTGTCTAGACTCAGATGCCTGCCATTTTTCCTGCAATGATTAGAAACAACACCAGGTTAAGTATGTCATCTAGACAGGTTCCAGCTTTGAATACCTACGGCCCTGAAACCAGAAATTTTCCCAAATCCTTAAATCCTTGCATTGAGCTTAGAGTCCCCTGTCATCCTGGAAAGGTCTGCTTTGTGGTCTGTGCTGAACTCTCCTGCCAACAGGCTTCAGTTCATTCTGATCGGCTTCCTAAATCTACCCTCAGGGAGCAGGTATTGGGCAATCTTCTTTCTTATTTGAAAGGGCTGATCTCCTTGGGCACTTGGTCTCCCCATCCCCCTCCCTCATGAAGGAAGGGGCTCTCTTCATCAAATACATCAAATAAATGGTGCCTTCCCTAGGGCACCAGTACATCCTAGTCTTAGTTTTCCATAGTTAGGAGGGGGCCACTCAAGTGATTCCATTCATTAAAGATGATTTTCTCTTTCTACAAATATAAAATTTGCTCACATAATTTTTTCAAATTCTTAAACCTTTCATCTTATAGTTCAGAATCTCCATTACTAAGCAAGCTGAACAATTTCCAAAAAGTTGTTTAGGTAGGAGAAGTCTCTGCAAAAATCTATTGCTTTGTTTGTTTTAATAAACAATGGAAATATTAGACATTGAGACCTTCTAACAGAATCAAATTCTAAGGAAACCCAAGCTCTCTATAAGTCCTCCTGGCTGCTATCTTAGCCATTTTTTTTTGCGGGGCAGGGGAACACCAGGGATTAAACTAAGGAAAACTCAACTACTAAGCCACATCTTCAGCCCAATTTTGTATTTTATTTAGAGATAGGATCTCACTGTGTTGCTTAGTGCCTCATCATTGCTAGGCTGGCTTTGAACTTGCAATCCTCCTGCCTCAGTCTCCCGAGCCACTGTGATTACAGGCATAGACCACCAAACCCGGCTATCTTAACCATCTTAACATAAGCAAATTAAACAGTGCTTTCCCACACCCCAGTTAGGATGTATAAGATGTCTCCCTTATAAATCCTAATTCTCTCCTCTTCTAGCCCAGGTTCTCTTAACTACAGGTTAGTCTCAACTTGTACCACAAAGAATGATTCCAAATGTTCATACTTGGGGATTTCTTTTCCTGTGCTTCCCGGTATGACCAAAGAATAAAAACTACTTCAGAAGTTCCCCCAGAAAATGAAATTTTCCCATTTAGATTCAAAAAAATCTCTAACTCAATAAACAAGCCCTTTACAAATTATCAATCCAACCAACTGTCAGTAAACTGGTGTTTAGCCCACAGCCCAGCACTTCTCAAGCACTCATTCATTACTAAATGGGTTTGAATGGATAAATCTGTGTATTTCCATGTGTTTCTGGCCCTTGTAAATGCCATCATGGATTTCGAAGGCTTAGTGTATTACACATCTATATTTGCACTGTAACAATAACCTTCCAAAATCCTAAGGCAAAAGAAATTGTTATTTCTCTAAAATTCCCCCAGTTACTCTAATAGTGGGTTCAATTTGGTCATTTTTGCTGTCTGAGGCTATATTAGTCAGGATCATTAATACTAGCTTCTACAACAAACGACTCTAAAATTTCAGTGACTTTACACAACTGTTTTATTTCTCATCCACTTAACAGTATCATGCTGGTTGGAGAACTCTGCAGGTGAAATTCTTCCAAGGCTCAGATACCAAGGCTCCCTCCATCTGTGCTCTGCTTCCTGGCAGGGAAAGTGAGAGAGAAGAAGATCAGGAAAGTTTTAGTGGCTCATCACTTTGACCAATTTCTGTTGGCTAGAATTAGTCACATGATCCCACTTACATGGGAGAACACTGGACAATATGTTTTTCTGAAGTACTTAGGAGTTCAAAGTCCATGGTTTGTTGAAGTCATGGCACTATCTTTGCCACAAGAGATAAAGGAGAATTTCTCCTGTATGTTTCTCTTTAACACAGGTTCATCAGGCATGTCGTACTCAGTCAGCCACTTAGAATATAAAAGCTTTAGATATAATCTGGAAAACTGTAGTAAGCACACCATACAAACAAATTTTATTGAAGGGTAAAATTATAATGACTTGGTTTTGAAAATCTTAATTGATTTTATTTTATGCTTCTGCAATAGGTAATACTTCGTTCCATAGAATAGAATATGTGTTCTGATAGGCTGAGCAGAAGAGGTTAGATTTTAGACAGAAAAGGGCCGAGAAAAGCAGAAACTAAATCCAAAATCAAGAGGGACACTACATACTGCTTAAGGGAACCATACACCAACAAGACATAACAATCATAAATATATATGCCCCAAACAATGGTGCAGCTATGTTCATCAAACAAACTCTTCTCAAGTTCAAGAGTCTAATAGACCACCATACAATAATCATGGGAGACTTCAACACACCTCTCTCGCCACTGAACAGATCTTCCAAACAAAAGTTGAATAAGGAAACTATAGAACTCAATAACACAATTAATAACCTAGATTTAATTGACATATATAGAATATACCACCCAACATCAAGCAGTTACATTTTTTTCTCAGCAGCACATGGATCCTTCTCAAAAATACATCATATATTATGTCACAGGGAAACTCTTAGACAATACAAAGGAGTAGAGATAATACCATGCATCCTATCTGATCATAATGGAATGGAACTGAAAATCAACGATAAAAGAAGGAAGGAAAAAGAATACATCACTTGGAGAATGAACAATAGGTTACTGAATGATCAATGGGTTATAGAAGACATCAAGGAGGAAATTAAAAAATTCTTAGAGATTAATGAAAACACTGACACAACATATCGGAATCTATGGGAAACATTGAAAGCAGTTCTAAAAGGAAAATTCATTGCTTGGAGTTCATTCCTTAAAAAAAGAAAAAACCAACAAATAAATGATCTCATACTTCATCTCAAAATCCTAGAAAAAGAAGAGCAAAACAACAGCAAAAGAAGTAGAAGGCAAGAAATAATTAAAATCAGAGCTGAAATTAATGAAATCGAAACAAAAGAAACAATTGAAAAAATTGACAAAACTAAAAGTTGGTTCTTTGAAAAAATAAACAAAATCGACAGACCCTTAGCCATGCTAGCGAAGAGAAGAAGAGAGAGAACTCAAATTACTAGCATACGGGATGAAAAAGGCAATATCACAACAGACACCTCAGATATACAGAAGATAATCAAAAATTATTTTGAATCCTTATACTCCAATAAATTAGAAGATAGTGAAGGCATCGATAAATTTCTTAAGTCATATGATCTGCCTAGATTGAGTCAGGAGGATATAGACAACCTAAACAGACCAATATCAATTGAGGAAATAGAAGAAACCATCAAAAGACTACCAACTAAGAAAAGCCCAGGACCGGATGGGTATACAGCAGAGTTTTAAAAAACCTTTAAAGAGGAACTAATACCAATACTTTTCAAGCTACTTCAGGAAATAGAAAAAGAGGGAGAACTTCCAAATTCATTCTACAAGGCCAATATCACCCTGATACCTAAACCAGACAAAGACACTTCAAAGAAAGAAAACTACAGACCAATATCTCTAATGAACCTAGATGCAAAAATCCTCAATAAAATTCTGGCGAATCGGATACAAAAACATATCAAAAAAATTGTGCACCATGATCAAGTAGGATTCAACCCTGGGATGCAAGGCTGATTCAATATACGGAAATCAATAAATGTTATTCACCACATCAATAGACTTAAAAATAAGAACCATATGATCATCTCGATAGATGCGGAAAAAGCATTCGACAAAGTACAGCATCCCTTTATGTTCAAAACTCTAGAAAAACTAGGGATAACAGGAACATACCTCAATATTGTAAAAGCAATCTATGCTAAGCCTCAGGCTAGCATCATTCTGAATGGAGAAAAACTGAAGGCATTCCCTCTAAAATCTGGAACAAGACAGGGATGCCCTCTCTCTCCATTTCTGTTCAACATAGTTCTCGAAACACTGGCCAGAGCAATTAGACAGATGAAAGAAATTAAAGGCATCAAAATAGGAAAAGAAGAACTTAAATTATCACTATTTGCAGATGACATGATTCTATACCTAGCAGACCCAAAAGGGTCTACAAAGAAACTATTAGAGCTAATAAATGAATTCAGCAAAGTGGCAGGATATAAAATCAACACACATAAATCAAAGGCATTCCTGTATATCAGCGACAAATCCTCTGAAATGGAAATGAGGACAACCACTCCATTCACAATATCTTCAAAAAAAATAAAATACTTGGGAATCAACCTAACAAAAGAGGTGAAAGACTTATACAATGAAAACTACAGAACCCTAAAGAGAGAAATAGAAGAAGATCTTAGAAGATGGAAAAATATACCCTGTTCATGGATAGGCAGAACTAACATCATCAAAATGGCGATATTACCAAAAGTTCTCTATAGGTTTAATGCAATGCCAATCAAAATCCCAATGGCATTTCTTGTAGAAATAGAGAAAGCAATCATGAAATTCATATGGAAAAATAAAAGACCCAGAATAGCAAAAACAATGCTAAGCAGGAAGTGTGAATCAGGCGGTATAGCGATACCAGACTTCAAACTATACTACAGAGCAATAGTAACAAAAACAGCATGGTACTGGTACCAAAACAGGCGGGTGGACCAATGGTACAGAATAGAGGACACAGAAACCAATCCACAAAACTACAACTACCTTATATTTGATAAAGGGGCTAGAAGCATGCAATGGAGGAAGGATAGCATCTTCAACAAATGGTGCTGGGAAAACTGGAAATCCATATGCAACAAAATGAAACTGAATCCCTTTCTCTCGCCATGCACAAAAGTGAATTCAAAATGGATCAAGGAGCTTGATATCAAATCAGAGACACACCATCTGATAGAAGAAAAAGTTGGCTACGATCTACATACTGTGGGGTGGGGCTCCAAATTCCTCAATAGGACACCCATAGCACAAAAGTTAATAACTAGCATCAACAAATGGGACTTACTCAAACTAAAAAGTTTTTTCTCAGCAAAAGAAACAATAAGAGAGGTAAATAGGGAGCCTACATCCTGGGAACAAATCTTTACTCCTCACACTTCAGATAGAGCCCTAATATCCAGAGTATACAAAGAACTCAAAAAATTAGACAATAAGAGAACAAAGAACCCAATCAACAAATGGGCCAAGGACCTGAACAGACACTTCTCAGAGGAGGACATACAATCAATCAACAAGTACATGAAAAAATGCTCACCATCTCTAGCAGTCAGAGAAATGCAAATCAAAACCACCCTAAGATACCATCTCACTCCAGTTAGATTGGCAGCCATTATGAAGTCAAACAACAACAAGTGCTGGCGAGGATGTGGGGAAAAGGGTACTCTTGTACATTGCTGGTGGGACTGCAAACTGGTGCAGCCAATTTGGAAAGCAGTATGGAGATTTCTTGGAAAGCTGGGAATGGAGCCACCATTTGACCCAGCTATTCCCCTTCTCAGTCTATTCCCTAAAGACCTAAAAAGAGCATGCTACAGGGACACTGCTACATCGATGTTCATAGCAGCACAATTCACAATAGCAAGACTGTGGAACCAACCTAGATGCCCTTCAATAGATGAATGGATTAAAAAAATGTGGCATTTATACACAATGGAGTATTACTCTGCATTAAAAAATGACAAAATCATAGAATTTACAGGGAAATGGATGGCATTAGAGCAGATTATGCTAAGTGAAGCTAGCCAATCCCTAAAAAACAAATGCCAAATGTCTTCTTTGATATAAGGAGAGTAACTAAGAACAGAGTAGGGTCGAAGAGCATGAGAAGAAGATTAACATTAAACAGGGATGAGAGGTGGGAGGGAAAGGGAGAGAGAAGGGAAATTGCATGGAAATGGAAGGAGACCCTCAGAGTTATACAAAAGTACATACAAGAGGAAGTGAGGGGAAAGGGAAAAATAATACAAGGGGGACAAATGAATGCCAGTAGAGGGGGCAGAGAGAGAAGAGGGGAGGGGAGGGGAGGGGAGGGGGGATAGTAGAGGATAGGAAAGGCAGCAGAACACAACAGACACTAGTATGGCAATATGTAAATCAATGGATGTGTAACTGATGTGATTCTGCAATCTGTATATGGGGTAAAAATGGGAGCTCATAACCCACTTGAATCAAAGTGTGAAATATGATATATCAAGAACTATGTAATGTTTTGAACAGCCAACAATAAAAAATTAAAAATAAAATCCAAAATCAGATGGTCATTTCAAAATTACTTTCCCTTTGAAATATAGACATAGAGATAGACAATAGAAAATTAATGGGTAGGTTAATATCAGATTGCCTCTGGTTACTTTTCATAAGGATTAGAAGGGGTAAGGATTAAAGAAGAGGAAACTTGATTATCATGTCAATCAAAATGAGCTGGTTTAGGAAGTTTTCTGGAGTTCTTTCTCCTGATTTCTGGGAAGGTCAGATTACAATTCAATTTCTGTTTGGTACTAAAGAACCTCACTCAGCCTAAGTGACTCCATTTTGTTTTTTAATCTGGTCTGTGGGGCTTAGTGCAAGAAGGCTCCCGTCTAAAACAATGGCTTCTTGGAATTTTCATCCAACATGTTTTTTTTTTTTTCCATGTAAACAGTATTTTTCAAAGTCCATGGGCGGTCTTATCGTCTAGAGTCTGGTAAATATTTGCTTTTGATGGCAGCAATTTGCTGCATGATCTCTGGCCTTAACTCTTTCCATTCAGTTCTCTCCCTACAAAATCCTGCTGCTCTCCCTCATTTCTCTCTGCTTAAGTTCCCAGTTTTACTGATTCTAGCTTCCAATGGCTATTCCCTCACTTTTTACTCCTTTTTTACTCTCTGTTCATGGATGAATAATTTCTTTCTTACCTATCACAGTGAATCCATCCAAATGGCTTTATTTCAGGTCTTAGGAACTGTGATTCAAGTGACAAAGATTCAGAAAGCTCTAAATCAGCATTCTGCGGAAGGCAGAAAAAGTAGGAGCTCATGTGTGCTAGTGAATGTTGAGAAGAAACAGGAGCTACATAAGCTACAGAAAAAAAAAAAAAAAAAGAACGTACAAACAAAATGGAAAAGGCCACAAAACAAGAGTCTGGTGATCTCCTGATATGTACCGTAAGCCTCTGAGTACAATTCAATTGACCACTTGTTCTGGTTGTTCCAGACGGGGTGGAAGAGACCAGAGTTCACATTCCCAGGGAGAAGTTGGAACCTGCATAAATCCTGCCCCCTTCATGGCCTCCAGACTCCATTTTGAAATACATCCTAATTTTCCTCTTGTTTTCACATTGCCCACAACAGATCTGCAGGCCTAAGACTACCTCAGTGACACAGTGTATTTGATTCTTAATCCTTACTGAATGGTCTCCTAATCAGCTGTTGCCACTGGCCTCACCATCTCCAAGAAATTCTAGAAGGAAGAGGATTCTATTAATAAATTATCTTTTTCCACTTCCTATTTAGCTGCCTATACCCAGGGCCTCCCTCACCCCCAAGTCCAGGATGGAAGGAACTTGGGAAAATCCAACGGATCTCATAAGCTGGAGCAGCAGTGGTGTTAGGCAGCATGAACTGAGCATATGTTGTTTGCTAGACACAGTTCTGAGTTCTTTGAATGGATTATCTAAGAAATCCTCAGAATGCCTAAGGACTAATTTTATTTCCTTTTTACACATGAGGGAACCAGAAAGTTCCTTCAGAGGAAGTTGTAGAATATGCCACTCCAAAATATGCCACTTTGGTCTATTGATTATTTTGAGCAAAAGCCAATTAAGTAGAAGCAGACCCAAGAAAAATTCTTTGCCCTCCCCATCTCTACCAGGAACGGCAGGAAATCCTGAATCACCAGAGACTCTAAATTCTTATCTGCTCAGAGAAATCCCAGAAGAATCTGTACAACAAATGTTATCTTCCATCAGCCTCCACATATATTTACCTTCCCCCAATCTACCTGCCCTAGAAGTTCAAACTCCTTATTCTTTGGTTATTACTTCTCTGCAGGATTCTTATTCTTTGCTAAGATACCATGTGAATTCCAGTTCTAACCATTCCTCTGAGTTACTCACCATCAAGCATTCTCCTGCATACACATGATGCACATGTTAATAAATTTGCTTCTCTCCTTCTGTCTTTTATCAGCCTAATTTTATGGGGCCCCATTCAACAAATATGATCAATAGAGGGGAAAAAAAACCTGAAGATCAATAGTTGGTAGAGCAGGCATCCAAGCCCAGTGTTGCATAATAGTGTGCATGTGGCTGCTACAGGAAAGAAGCAGGAATTGAGTGGCCAGCCAGGAGTGGGGCATGTGCTCCTCTATTCTAATGGTGGGGCAACTGTGTGAAGATGATTGTGGGCAGGAAGGCAGGAGTGCCCTGCATCTCCTTCTCCTCCTAGGCCTGTCCTCTCTCTTTTCTTCCCACCTGCCTGTGCCAAGAGGCAGTGGCTCCCTGCCTCCTCCCTCTCTGGCAGCCCCAGACAAGTTTCCACTGGCTCTTTGACAATTCTCAGTAGTAAAGTGAGTTAACTCAATTCAAAGGAGGAAAAAAAAAATAAGAAGAAGAAGCAGTGTTTGGGGATTTAGCCCAAATAGGATTCTTCCATCCAGTTTTTCATTAATAAAACTGACACTTTAGATCTCCGATTAAAAAACAAAAAACAAACCTATGTACTATCTACACAATCACAGGGGAAAAAAATCAACACGTCTTAAGTTATCAAGATGCTGACTCACTGATTACTTGCTCTGAAACCCCAGAACACAAACTAGCATGGACTTTTGAAATATTTTCTTGGGAACATGGAGGACCTCACTCTTGTCCGGAGGAGAATGTCCCTCTCCCGACAGGAGCTGCCAGAAATGAAAGTGAGGAAGGCCAATGGACTGTCCTTTGAACCCTCCCCAGTGTCTGTCACAGGCTCTGCTGGTTTGTTTGTTTAATAACGAGTGTATCAAGCTCTTAAGGCCCCTTTCCCCTATATCCTAGCCTGAGCACTTGTTTATACCTTTAGAAGCACCATCTTTGAACAGAAACACAGTAGCTTGTAAAAACAAAGTTCAACTGGAATAGTCTGTTCAAAACAGAACTTTTTGATCTTTTTGTCTTGCATAACTTGGCTGTTTTTTGTGGTGTTTTTTTTTTTTTAATTTTTTTGGTGGAGGGGGTGGTATTCGTTCGATTTTTGGTTTTTGTTTTCTTTTGGTGTTGAGGATCAAACACAGGGCTCCATACAGGCTATGCAAGCACTCTACCACTGAGCTACATCCAGCCTCCTGCAACTTTATCAGATATTCTGCCCACATTTTTGCTGGTATTTTCAAACATCCACAAATGTTTTTTAACAAAAACCCATTCTTCTCACACTTTTTTTTTCTTTTTAAGACTAAGATTCTCTTTTAATTCTTTCTCACTCTAAGTGGAGTTTGTGGTTGAACTTGAACTATATCACTAGGATGAAATTTATCATCCCTTCTCACTGGAAATCTCCCAGAGGGAGTCAGAGAAACAGCAAGTCAGGACCTGCATTCCCACAGAGTCCTCAGCCTAGGCAGAAGGAGGCTCCCAGGACCAGGTGACAAGAGCCCCACCCGTTCCGTCTTGGGTTGACAGGTACACCCCTCCCCCATCCACTCCTGCCATAATAGAGACTGAGATGAGGAGGAAATAATCAACCACATGAGTGGACCCACCCATCCCTTATAATTTATCATTTTCAATGTTTAAAATCACATACACACACACACACACCCCACATGATGTTTATTCGGTTGCCAAACACATCAATCTCTGACTTAGGTTTCTCAATTTAAATAGCAGATGCTATGTGCTATCATGTTTTGCGGTTTATCCTGTTTTGTACAGTCACCAGTTGTTTTAGCCTCTGAGATGACAGTGTTATGTTTTATGTGGCACATGGGATGCAGTGAAATATAGGAGGATGCCACTCCTCTTTGCTGCTTATGTGCTACAAAGTCCTTTTAATGCTACTAGTAAATGGTTTACACTGACAAGGAGACCAGGTTGCTGAATGACTTAAGGATCAGGGTTCACATTTCCTTTAACAGGATCCTGTCAGAGAAAGGAACAAGAATGACCTTGCAAATCATTAGATTTTTGGTTGATAGGCTGCTGTTGCGTAAAATCCATATCATGCATAAGGATTTACTTTCCTACACTATTTTAAAACTCTCATTTGATCTTCCCCATAGACTATAGTAACTCTCAGGTTGTAATTAAAAGATAAGCTCTGAATAAGCCAGACTCAGAAAGTCAAGGGTCATATGTTTTCTTTCCAAGGTGAAAACTAGAGAGAAAAAAGGAAAACATAGGGGAGGACATCATGGATGTATGATGGCATACATGAAAGTATATTTGCATATGTAACAAAAAAACCCACTAACATGTAAAATTATAATGCACCAACAAAAAATGATCTAAAAACAAAGCCAACCTCTAGTCTCCCTCACACTCATGTACTTGCTCACTTGGCTCTTCACTCACCACTTTATGTTCCTTTTATGCTCCATTTTCCCCCTCCAGCTCTGCTCTCCAACCTTCTCTGTCCTTTCACACCTGTTTTGGGCCTGCATCCCTAGGGGTTTCCTTGCCTTCAGTTCCTGGTCCCTTTCACAAGCAGAAGGTGTGTGCAGGATATTCAAGCGAGTCAGGAGTGAGGAGATCAGGCCTCTTCCTGCTTGGCTTTGGTTTGGCATAGCCACATCCCTCTGCTGAAGGCCGTTAAGAACAGCAATCACTTCTTTGGCCGCAGCTGTCTCTCACACCCCTCTCACTGGTGGTGACTCCCTGCCTTTCCCTTCAAGCCTAGGATATAAGCCTCCTCTCTGCAGTTCCCCACTTGGTGCCTTGGCACCATTTGTTTTAATTATGCCCTTATGTGATAAAAATTATCCATTAAACTATATTCTCTCTATCTTGTGACAAACTCTTCCATGTGTTTTTTGACAGGACCCTAACCAATGAGTGTGTACATAGTGATTAATGAGAATGTCTAGAATTTTCTTCAATGAGATTAGTAATTCAGGAAAATACCTAGCTGACAATTCAGAGATAAAAGCTATCCTAAAGGTCTTTCCAGAAGTGTGGCACTTGAAAAGCAGACTTCACCTTGAATCCCAGCTCTGCAACTTTGCTGGATTGTATGAGAAATCACCCATGAACCCCCATCTCAGGATGTTTACTTGCCCAAGAAACAACCAGGAAGCTCACTCTACACTGTGGAGACACCCTGTGATGCTGGAGCACTCCACAGTCACGCTAGAGTTTTGGTGGCTTCAGTTCTTTGCGTATACACTTACATACATTCACATATTTACACACAGATAGGTGTAGTCACAATACATGTAAATGCACTCAGACATGTACATGTACACACATGCTCACATATATGTCCATGCACACATACACTCACACATATACAGTTGTCCCTCAGTATTTAAGGGTGATTTGTTCCAAGACCCTCCACAAATACCAAAATTCATAGACACTCAAGTCCCTTATCTAAAATGGCTTAGAATTTGCATATAACCTATGCACATCCTTTCATATTTTAAAACATCTTTAGATTACTTATAAGACCTAGTATGCTATGTAAATAGTTATTATACAGTATTGTTAGGGAACAATGACAGGAAAAGTCGGTATATTTACAGTACATTCACAATTTTTAAAAATATTTTCAATTCAGTTGGGTGAAGCCACAGATGAGATGTGGAGAGCCAACTGTAACACACATTCATGCCCACATATACTCACACACATTTTCACACTTTTCTCCCAAAACATCTCAAAAAGATGTGTTCAAGAAGATTTTCAGCTTCTGCTAAATGCTGTGCTCAAAACTCCCTACTTATGCACGTGATCTTCCCTAACCTCAAGAGCTGGCAAAGTACAGTAATGCAAATACCACATTTTCTGCTGCAATATGAACAACTTTTATTTCAGACAAAGAACAAATTGTAGCTTTGTGCAGTCTTCACTACAATTATCTTTAAAAAAAGCAATTTGTGAAAGATTAAATGATTTTTACATGCTTCTGTCTTTTCCCATGGAAGTAAAATAGGAGTGGAGTCACACATTTTCAAAATTCAAGTGGATTTTTAAAAAGAAGAAATGGTAATTTTCTAAAGTTCTGAAACTCACCCATTGCTCATTCTCATAAGAATCCTACTTTGCCCCTTGATGAATGATAGAATGAAGCATCCTCAATGTCACTACACACCTGGACGAGGCCAGTGCAGAGAGTAGCCTGAAATTACTCTGTCTGCTCACTGAATGGCTTGAGTGAAAGGTGGAGAAATGCCCAAAGACAGCTGCTCTGTTCCAGATCGTGTTTCTCCTGGCCACTAAAACAGGGTTCTCATTTGCTTTGTACTTTAAAGTTCGCAGAATGTTAATAGATAGTAGAGAATCTTGGTGTTGGGATTTATTAGTGGGCATTGATGAAATCAGTAACATCATCAGCCTTCTGTCTCTTTGTTTTTTACCCTTTATCAATCATACGGAACAAATGATAAGATACCCATGTCTTCAGTTGTGTCCCCTAGAAGCATAGTCTAAGATGGGGGTTCTTGAAAACAGGCTTTGACAAGGGAGAATTCTCAGGGAAACCTGCATGGAGTGAAAAGAGAAAAAGAGGCAAGTCAACAATGAGCTCTGAGTTGTTCCACTTTGAGGCAAGGAAGGGAGGTGTCCTGCAACATCTCTGGAAAGGAAGGTTCCCAAGAGCCTAGGACAAAGATCTGGATGAAGGGGGCAGCCCTGAACTGCTGGCAACCACTACTCAGCACATCTGGGAGGTGGGTATTCCTGCAAGCAACAAGGATCTCTGTAGTACCAATGACTTATCATGCAGATGATCTGCAACTTTGAGAGTCACCAAATTTTCAGTTTGTATCTCTTGCATGTGTGAAAATATTTCTTGATGTAGTTTTCAAACAGATCTCCCAAAGTCCACTGGGCAGCTTGGATTGGGATAAGCAAGCAGAACTTTAGCCCCTGCTCTCCTTTCCTTTCTATTTATTTTATGTATTGGATTTCCAGGTAAGATTATAACTGAACAAATGGACTATGATGTAAGTGCCTTGATGACAGGGTCCCTGTCTACCTTATCCACTGGAACCTCCAAAGTTTGCAGGACAGTGGCGTAAAACAGGTCCTTGTTAGATAA